CTCGGCATCACGCGGCTCATCGGCATCTTCCGGGCGGAGGAGATCGAGGACGCGGACCTGAAGAATTTGGACGAGGACGCGGACCTGAAGGAGCTCCACGTCCCCTTCGGGCCGCGGATGCTCCTCCGGCGCGCGCTGGAGCGGCGGAAGCACGCGCCGCCCCGGCCGCCGCCGCCGCCCGCGCTCACGTTTCCCATCACGGACGAGCCGCCGTCGCGCGCGGAGGTCGAGGCCGTCGTCGCCGAGGCCTGGATGGACCCCGCGCTCGTGGACAAGCTCGTCGACGCCCAGGTCGGCCGCGCGACGGCGCTCGCGCTGTCGCGCGACGACCTCTTCGGCTTCCTCGACGACGGCGCGGCGGAGCTCCTCCTCCAGTGGCAGCGCGACGCGAGCTAAGGCGACCGGGCCCGTTCTTGCTAGTTAGCCGCGGCGCGCAGGGTCATGCTACAATGCTACTGACGGCTTCTTAGACTCTACAAGTAGCTACTTCTAATATACAGTCGTGGACTGGTGCTTGATCGATGTTTCCAAGTGCTTGCCGCCGGGGACATTCGAGGATTCGCACCGCGAGGAGCAGATCTCCCAGACGACCTCGCCCCGCAGCCTTGTGACTCGCGACCCCTGCCAATTGTAATATTCGAAACCCGTGGACTCGCGGCGAGATGCGTTGAAGGTCGCACGTGGGGCATAGAAGATGGGACGATCCCTACCATGGGAGAATCCATGAAAGTAAGCATTCGTCACAGACAGCAGAGTATGAGAGTGTGTATGATTGTGCCCATCGACATGAGCGAAATAGCGGGTGATAGGCTCCGGAGTGACGAAGGCGCAACAGTTTCCGCGGATGAGCACATATGGATACCGAGGGTTGACCGGATCAGCTACTGGCATCTGCACGAGGATGGAATGCACGAGCTGCATTCTCACACCATCAATCCACTGGTTCCCTTCTCCCATTCTAATCCTCGAGACACCGACGAATACGCCGACAGCTTCGTAACGCTCCAGTAATTTCAGCTCGCTCAGGTCGAGGCTTCCCACCTTTTTAAATTTTCCGCCGCCCCATGTATCAGTGAAATTCAATTTGCGCTGGTCATCAGATAGGCTGAAATGTTGTTTCTGCGAAAACTCGATTTTCTTACCGCTCTCGTCCACGTCTGGGTGTTCATACACCGAGACTTCACCGCTGCTCTTGTCGATCACGACGATGAATGAGTAGTCGAGGCCGTTGTCATCGACGGTTCGTAGCATGAGATAGGGATTCGTTGACGAGAACGCGGACGTAAGCTCCTCGCCGTCACGGTCGTATCGGTTGTCAAGAAGGAAGAACTTCGCGTGCGGGGACGGGAAAGTAGAGAGCGGAGCGAGGCTCAGGTACTCTTGAGCGCCCTCCTCGGAGCTGACGTTCCACGCCCCCGGCACAGGCGCGGGTGCCGCCTCGAGTGAGCGGCGGCGGAGCACGCGCGCGGCCGTCAACGCGCTCGACTGGTGCCAGCTCTTGTTCACCACGGAGGCCACCGGCACATGATGGAAGCCCACGAAGCCGAGAATCGCGGTCATCACGTCCTCCGGAAGGGAGTCGAAGGTCGTCATGACCTCGGCAGATTAATATGAGGCCACTGATCGACACTTGATTGATCGAGTCCGGGACTCGAGCGAGGTGAGGTGCGAAGCTGCCTCGGCCTACGATCCGCGCGATCGCCCGGGGCTGGGGCGAACGGCGACGTCGAGGCCCTGCGCGTCGAGTTTTCGCGCGCGCAACTCGATTTGCCTCAGCGCGCTGGCGCGAGTGGATTTGCGTCGCCAAAGCGAGGACGCACCTCCTAAGGAGGCTACGAGGTGCCTCCTATCCAACTCGAGTCGCCCTTATCACACGAGGAACTTGAGCTGGCACCGGATCGTGGGCCCGAGGGTGAGGTGGATCGTGCCCGAGATGTCGTCCGCGCTGCGGTTCTGGGGCGTGAGGCCGCGGCGGCCCTCGAACTCCTCGAGCGTCTGGACGAACTCGATGAAGTTGCGCTTCTCGAGGGGCGTCGCCGACGTGTTGAGCCACTGGCCGACGGAGCCGTGGCCCGTGCCGATGGCGCCGACGAGCTCGTCGATGACGTCGTCGTCTTGGTTGACCATCGCGTGCCACGGCGGCTGCTTGCCGCCGCGGCCCGCGTCGTAGCCGAAGTCGCCGCTCCGGAGGAGGGCGCTCCCGCCGCGGGCCCCGCCCCGGCCGAGCTCGCGGCGGAGCTCGCGGTTCTCGCGCGCGAGGGCCTCGAGGTCCGATCCCGCGTCGCGCGACGCCCGCGCGTCGTCGCGGCGGCCGAGCGAGCCCGCGCGGTCGCCCGCGAGCTTGTCCTCGAGGTCGCGGAGCCGCCGCTTGAGCCGCTCGTTCTCGTCGTCGTCGCCCCGGCGGTCGTCGGACCGCGCGGGCGACCGGCCGCGGCCGCCGGCGCCGCCGCGCGCGCGGACGTGGCGGCCGTCGACGGCGCGCTCGCGCTCGCCGTCGTCGTAGTCGACGTCGTAGGAGCCGTCGACGTTGGCGCGGCCCACGACGCCGGGGTACCACTTGTCGCGGCCCCGGAG